AGACATTCTCATTTTAAAGCTTAATGTATAAAATGTGATCAACATATACAGCAAATGGCCAGGCGTGGTGGCACATGCCTGTAATCCCAGTACTCGGGAGGCTGAGGCAGGAGGATCACTGTGAGCTCAAGACCAGCCTGGGCTACATAGTGAGTTCAAGGCCAGCCTGAAATACATAGCAAGACCCTGTCTCCAAAAAACAAAACAAAAAAGTAGTGAATTTTTAAATTAAAAAAATTATTACAGTAAAAGACACATTGCCAATTACCCCTTCAAGTACTTGCCCTCACTTTGAACATACTATGTCATCTTTCTTGCCAAATTCTGAAGCAGTTCTGGAAGTCCAGATTTGTAAGTGTCTTTATGAGGTGGGATTTAAAAAAAAATATGGTTCAGTGCTGCTGCTATGTGCCATCCAATGGAGTCAGGCTTGTAAAAATATCAGGGTGTGTTCTCACCCACCTTATTCACTGGACATGGTACCATGCGACTTCTGCTCTTCCCCAAAGTCGAAATGACCATGAAAGGTAAACATACAGGGCTGGGAATTTAGCTCAGTGGCACTGCACCTGCCTCACAAGCGCAAGGTCCTCAGTTCAATTCCTGGAACCACACAAACAATTTTTTTAATCAATTCAGCCACAACAATGCAATTAAAGACACCAAAGAGGACTTCCAGAACTACCTAAGATAGTGGCAAGAATGATGGGGCATGTTCAAAGTGAGGGGAGTACTCTAAGGGGGATTAATGACAAAATGCCCTTTAATGTAATAGATTTTACAAACTTAAACTCTCACCATAGTTTTCTTTTCTTTTTCTGAGACAGGGTCTGTCTGTGTAGTTCAGGCTGGCCTCAAACTTGAGATAATCCACCTGCCTCAGCCTTCACCAGTTTTCAACCACAGCTTGTATACTATATGCAAGAAACTATTCTTAAAAAGTAGCATTTGATGGGGCTTTACAAGATGTATTTTATATCTCCAGAAGGCATATTTTCAAAGAGAAAATACAATTGGATCAACAGTGAATTATTGGGGGAACAGGTGAGGTGGCTACTTATTCAGAGAATGACATCAGTTTGATGTAGTTTTCAGTCTGTTCTTTCTCATTTCATACTTCAGAACACATTGCACTGGTTTTCAAACTTTTCAGTACTGAGGATTGAACCCAGGGCCTCAGGGTTTCACCCATGGTAGGCAAGTGCTCTACCATTGCACTTTGTCCCCACCCCTAGTTTTCAAACTTAAGGCTGCAACATAGAGGGCTCCTTAAGACACAGCTATCTGGGTTAAAGGCCAAAGTTACTGATTCAGTAGTTCTGGGCAGAGGCCTCAAAATTTGAATTTTTTGGAGACATATCCGTACAACTTTATGGGGCACATTATGGTTTTAATATATGTGTATGGTGTGATACATACCATGTGTCATAATCAAGAATTTAAATTTCTTACAAGTTTGAGGTCATACAGATCCTGGGATCACACTGAGAACTACTAATTCCCACATACCATGCAGTTAGCCTACTGTTAATAAGTACCATATTCCATAATTTATAAGCAAACTGCCAAATGAAATAGCAAGAACGTGGTTTAAAGGTTTGTTAAAAAAATTTTGAGGGCTAGGGATTTAGCTCAGTGGTACTGCATCTGCCTCATAAGCGCAAGGTTCTGAGTTTGATCCCCAGTGGTGCTAGGTGTTAACCTGGGTTCTTGTGCATGCTAGGCAAGTGGACTACCACTGAGCTATACCCCAGTCACAGTATTTTAAAAATGTCAAGGGCTGGAGATTTAGCTCAGTGGTTCTGCTGCCTGCCTCGCAAGCACAAGGATCCAATTTCGATCTCCAGTACCAAAAATCACAAAAACAAACAAAAAAACCCACAAATGATGTCAGGTGGGTGGTGGTGGGGATTTTATTTTCCTTCAAGAGGGGAAAAAGGAGCAATGTTTGTCTTTTTGGTGACACTGGGGATTGAAGCCAGTGCCTGCATACTAAGCTATATCCCCAGACCTTATTTTTCTTTTTTACTTGTTTTTATTTTTGAGATATGGTATTACTAAGTTGCCAAGGCTGGGCTGTGGGATGGGATCCTCCTGCTTCAGCCTCCTAGATTGCTGAGATTGCATCTGCCACCATGCCTGGCTTGGAGTTGATTTTCGATTGTTTAAATGTCCATTAAAATTCAGCAGTAGTAACGGTATTACTAAAAGGGTAATTCACCCTTATTTGTTGTGACAGGGTCTCACAACTTTCAGGCTGGGCTCGAATTTACAATCTTTGTGCCTCAGCCTCCCAAGAATACTGGTATTACAGACATGTGTTACCATGCCAAGCAGTAAAAACACACACACATTTATATAGTTTTTTCTTACCTGTTAAAAATAGATAAGGAAGGGCCGGGGATTTAGCTCAATGGTGCCACTGCCTGCCTCACAATTGCAAGGTCCAAGTTCATTCCCCGGTACCCCCCCAAAAAAGATAAGGAAGTAATTACAGGAGAAACAAATATTGTTCCTGGGTTGTAGGAGTATTTGTGGGTGGGTGGGAGAGCCACTAGTAAATCAAGATGGGCAAAATGTTGGTAATTGTTGAAATTTATGAGTACGCGTTCATTACACTTTATAGTTTCATTTAATAGAAGTTTTAAGAATACCCATCTTCATTGATATTAGTTGAAAATATAATTGACATGTAATAAAAATATAGACTGCATTTACGACAAGGTTCTTATGGTCTCACATAGCAGGGGTAGTATTGCCAAAGATTAGATAACCAGCCCCTTGTAGTCTACACCTAAAATTTTCTCCTGTGGCACCTCCACTGTGGCCACAAAGTATCTACTTCTAAATTTCCCGGTCCCAGGATCTTTTATTCCCTTTCTTTTTTCTTTTTTGCAGAGCTGTGCTCAAACTCAGGACCTCCTCTGTACTGGGAAAGGATCTACTGCTGAGCCACATGCCAGCTGTTCCCTCACGCTGTATCCCACCTGTTGCCCACAGCTTCTGAAACTTTCTGAGGGGCTGCAGGCTCAAACCCAAAATTCCTCCCTTGTTGCCTGCCTCAAAGGGACAGTGGTTTTTTAGGTTATGTGCTTCTGCAAATTTTGTTTCAGTGACTACTACCTTACTGGAACAACCCAGTCAATATTTGTAGAGAGAGGAAAAACTATTGTTCATATTTTCATACATTTAAAATATTTCTTTTTCCTTTCTGAGGTGCTAGATATTAAATCCAGGGCCTCATGCATGCCAGGCATGTATTTTACCACTGAGCAACACTCCCAACCTCAACTTTAGTATTTTTAAAAGGGCTACTTTTATTGTATTCTAAGACAGTAAAACAAGCGGGGCATGGTGGCTAGCAGACCATGGTCCTAGCAGACTAGAAAGCTGAGGCAGAATGATTTCAAGTTCAAGTCCTGCCTGCGCAATTCAGAGACTTAAATGTCTCAAAATAAAAAATAAAAGGTCTGGACATGTAGCTCAGTATGAAGGCCTTGGTTTCAATCCCCAGTACTACCGAGAAAAAAAAAAGTGAAACAAATGCAAAGTAATACAATATAATTTTAAAGAATAGTACTTTATTGAATATGTTTCATTCACAGAAAAATAAGCTTTAATCTACAACAAATGCCAGATTATACAGCAGAAATCAATTTTCTTAGTTTTCCATATCTATGGAATGGGTCCTACTAAATGAAATAAAAGCCATAAAATTATATTCACAAATATAGTACTCTGTCTCAAAACATTTCACATGATTATTCACAATACTAATACAATGATATAAGAATCAGGCATTCTGTCAAGTTAAATTGTGTCACAGTAACGAAAAACACAAAATCGCAACTGAAATTACATTGAAGTCTGCTACAGCAAATAAAAAAATGCAAATTTGTTACTAGTATAGACAAAATGGTAAAATATACTTACATAGTAATTTTTAAAATTTTTCTTTTGAGACAGGGTCTCGCTTTGTAGTGCAGGCTACCCTTGAACTCACTATGTAGCTCAGGCTGGCCTCGAACTTCCATTGATCCTCCTGCCTCAGCCTCCCGAGTGCTAGGATTACAGACATGTGCCACCAGGCCCGGCTTTTACATAGTAATTTCAATGTTACATTAAATGATATATAATAATCATGTAGTAAATGCCAAAAATCTGTATGCCTCTCTGCAAACTTTAGACTTCAAAATAGAATCTTACCACTCAAACATTAATGTAATATTATCTAATTGGAAGCTATACGTATTTAAGATTGTCCTACTGTATCAATTTTAAAGTGTCATTTAGTATGTAGTGAAAGTTAGGGTACAGTGGAAAGAACACTTGAAAAAAAAATAAGAATTTGAGACTTCCCAGGACAGGTTGGTTGGTAAAATTTTTCACCTTCAAATTATGTCCCAGTCAGGGTTCTGCCACTAAGGAACTATGTATCTTTGAACAAATTAACTCTCCCTTGAGTCTCAGGTTGCTTGACCTGTAAAATGAAGGGGAGGAATTAGATACTCTCTAAAGTCACTTACAGCTCTGACCCTCTATGATTCTATTATGCTGAGACAGAAATCTACATTGTACTAAGTGTATGAGTCAAATGAAAACTGATTATTTAGGATGTGGCTAAGTCAATTTTTTTTAGGAAACCCGTACTGAATTTGGTAAGAATAACTGTTTTAAATTTAAAGAATTTAAATATTTTTAAGAGTTTGACCTATTTGTTTACTTACTATAATAAGTTCCAGCCCGATTTTCTATGTTAAGGCAAACCCACGGAAGGGTAAAAGAGTGCTAGGATGGGAATTCACATTTATAGCAGGTGCATTAAAGATATGGTCTTCTTGAACTCTGATAACCTTGGAAGATAGGTATTATTCTCATTTCACAGATGAAGCGATGGTTGCCTTTATTTATCAATTGATTGACTGATTGGTTTTTTGAGACAGTTTCACTATGTAGTTCAGCCTGGTCTTGAATTCACTATGCAGCCCAAGCTGGTCCGGAACTCATAGCAATCCTCTTGCCTCAACCTCCCGAGTGCTGGGATTAAAGGCAAATGCTGGGATTACTGGCGTGAGCCAGCATGACAGAGGTTAGCTTCTTTTAAACAGTAGATTTGACTAAAAAGAACTATGTCAAATATTCCTTCCCATTTTCTGAGTTCTCTAGTGGCAATGACATACAATATTCTCATTCTTCCATTCCTTCCACCTCTCCTCAATCAACATTTGGGTTATCAGTAACAAAACAATGATTTGGGTCTAAAGGAAACAATTCATACAACTAACATTAGGAAGGTAGCCTTCATTCAGAGCTCCAAATAAAAAATTTTTATCCACTAAGATGAAAACAGAAAAACTATCCAAATTTAAATAATATAACAAAAAACAAAATATCATAATACACATGGCGAAAATGTTATACACACCTGCTACACTCATCCCACCCCACCTCAACCATTAACCAAAGGCAGGGGGAAAAACCAAATCTATCAGGAAAGGCAATAATAACTGGAATTTACTTTATAAATGCTAAAATCATTTCTCAAAAGTGAAGACAAGGTTTTTGATCAGAACACTAAATTATTGCAATATAAAATAACTACTACAAAATAACTTCAATCTTCACGTGACTAAAATGTAATAAAATAGGTGCTGAATTCAAAGTCCTAAAGTGAACTTTATACAGAAAAGAAATGTACACATGTAAGCTACTGAGAACTATTGCGGGCAGAGTGTGGTGATTTGGATCTGGTTATATTTTTGACCTTGCAAGTCATCAATTTTTGTACAATTAGAAAGGATCCAGTGCTTTTTTGTAGTGTGAATACAGGCAAACTCTGCTAAGTCTCCAAAAATTTTGATTAGAAGTTGGAGTGCTGAAGCAACAGCATTTTGAAACAATTCTTAAAATAAACTTGTTAGCCACATCAGCTTCATGCATTAAATTTCACAACTCATGGAGAGAGAAAAAAGGTCTTGTTTAACTCTAAACACAAGTTTTAAAAGAAGAGTCTTAATGAACTGAAGTTTCCAGAACATTAAAAGCTTTATGCTGAAACGATTCAGTTTCATCCTTGGCTAACAACTAGATTCTACTACCTACCTGAAGATGGACATGAAGTGTCCTGGAGAAAATATTTTAAAAAATGTAACACTCTTCTCCCTTTATAGAATGCTTTAAATGTAAATTTAAAGCTTTGCCCACACAGATCACATTCAACTTAATGAATATAAGCAAACCTAAGTGGAAGATAGAGCAAAGGAGAACTCAAGATTTACATAATAAAATAAAAATAGGGCAATCATTATTTAATTTTTGCAAATCTCATTTACATTTGCAATGTTTTATACAAGTATCACTTAACAGCAGTTAACAGAGGTTAGGAGAACATAACAATACTCTTTCTCTTAGAAAATATAACAAAAATATAATTTTTAACAGTTTCACTCCCAAACAGATCTCAGCAGTAAAATGCCCTATTTGCTGTTACATAGGTCTATCATGAGAATGTAAATTTCAGATATTCTATGAAGCACTGTTAAACTTTCATATTGATGCATATTCAAGTTCTTAAAAATATTTAAAACAACTACTCTTCTGTTACTATTTTATCATTTCCAAGAGGTTTTTAAGGCTCTTGAGAGAACATTTAAAAAAATACCTACTACTATTACTAGTTAAGAAAACAACAACAAAAAATGTATGTAGAGGAAAGACTTAACATTTGTCCAATATACATGTTAATCGCCCTAACAGTAAAAACTCACATGAACTTTAAGATACAAGATGCCATGAGAGTCTCAACATGGAAAGCCATCACTATAACTACAAGTAGGGTACAAACATGCTTCTACTTTTACCTACATAAGCTGAAAGATGTTTAAAACACTGGGTTAATAAAGATCTTTTAGTAAAGTGACTTAGGCAGGCTTAAACTAGCAAGGATTAAGGATGAATCCTTACTAATTAATTGGAAGATCTGAGACATATTTTATATTTCATTTTACAAAATCAGAAATATTTATTTTGAAACAAGATAAGACATGGTCTACCTATCAGAAAACTACCACTCAGAAATATTTTTCATCCACAAAGCAGGCAAAACATACGAACATTTAAATTTTATATTGGCACCAAAAAGGTTAATTGCCCTGCCTTCTTGGATTAGAAAAACTAAGCTGAGCAATAAGTAGTTTTGCAGGCGTTTGAACATGCCTAAGCCTTTAAATCAGTAAAATACTTTCTAAAAAAATTCTGATTACACAAGTAATACATACGTATAAAAATTTCAAACAGAAGAAAAAAAAAAAGACAAGTGGAGGGCCCCTTAAAATCCTTCTGGGACCAAACCCCAACCCCTCAAGTAAAACCACATTTAACAATTTGGTGTGCATATATCTTTCCAAATCTTTGACACTATTATAGATACAAAATACACACACCTTGACTTTGCCTTGTATTATACACAGTGTTTTGCCACTTGCATTTTACATTTAATTTATCTTTCACATCAATGTCAGAACGTTGGCTAGATATTCTATCATTAATACCATTTTGGAAATGGCAAAATCACTTTTTAAAATCATTCACACATGTATGCTTGTAATTTTAAAAGAAAATGGACAGAATCCTAAGACACAAAGACAAATATCTAAAAATATCCCTATCTTTCCACCAGTGTGGAACAGTTCATTCCTTTTTCACACAAACAAATTATGTGACTGTAGAGATTTAAGTATAATCTCCACATTTATACAGAATGCTCCATTTGTTAAGCCTATTGGAAAAGAATAAAACATTCAGATGATTAATTCACTTACAGTAAAGAAACTAAGTCAGCGTACTACAAATACACAGTATGAGCAGTTATGATCCTTTTTAGTCTAGTTTCAACTGAATAACAATGAAAAAATTGGATAAATGATAGGAGTTAAGAACTTGAAAAAGCCAGAAATTCCAGGCTTAGCTTGCCAACTAAAACACTATTATTGACATTTTTTTCTACTTGGTAGCAAATGCTAATGGAATTCAATGCTGATTACTTAAAGTTCCTTTATATCACACATTTAATCAGGATAATAAGGAGAACATAACATGCTTACTATGGAGTGAGATTAAGACATAAAAATTTTTTGCTTAAAAGTAATGACTGTGTAGCACATGGGACATTTGTCAACTGCTTCAGCACACTCTTTACAAGTGACCAGATGTCCACAAGGAATAAAAACAATAGCAATATTTCTATCCATACAGATTTTGCAAAGCTTCTCCTCTTGTAGGCGCCTTAGCTGTTCCTCAGTACTAATCTCTGCAGAAAGAGAAAAGAAATATAATAGGTTTAGATGTCCTTTTTTTTTTGTACCAGGGATTGAACTCAGGACTTGCTCTTCCAAGGCAGGCGCTGTGCCACCGAGCTACATCCCCAGTCCTAAATGTTCTTAGTTGTTTAAATTCTCTGAAACATTTATTGAACCCCTACTGTGCACCAGACACTCAAGTGCGGAGAGATATGAGATGACTCACACATGGAATATGTTCTTAAATAGCTAGTGGGAGAGGATGTGAGAACAGGCCACAGAGGTAAGCACAAAGTGCGGAGTGATAAGTGCTATAATAAAGGTGCGTACAAAGTGCTCTGGGACAAGATGAACATGTTCTTCTCTTCAGGCTAGCTGGGGAAAGATTCATTGGGAGAAGCACAGTGGAGAAGTGACATTTAATCATGCATGGGTAGCAATTTGCCAGCAGAAAAGCAAGGGTTAGGTAAAAGAAGCATGTGGAAAGGGCACGTCTCATTCGAGAAAGGGATGGATTTCACTTCTGCAGTGTGACAAGCAGGATTGGGTGTTTGGATTTGAGGGCTGAGGAAGAAAGAGGAACTAAAGTTGACTTTAAGATTGCTGGCTGACAAGGAGATGGGAAATAATATGGGAATATAGGAAATATAGGAGGTACGGGTTTAGGATTTTTTTCAGGTATTTTTTGAGGTGTTTCCTGGGCATCCCCCAAAAATATGCAGTAAGCAAATGGAGAGTCAAATTTTGAGGTCAGAAGTCTCTTATCTAGAGATAACATTTGAGTGTTATCATCGGAGAGCTGACACTATAGTACTGGCTTAATTTAGCCTTTCCCAAAACAGGTTTTGTGGAATGCTAACAAATAGGCCATAAAAATGTGTTTTGTGGCATATATATATATATTATACATACACACACACACACACACACACACATACAACAGTCAACAATGACAGAGCATAAATACTATGCGCTAGACACTACTCCAAATGCATTGCAGGGCCAAGGATTTGGCTCAGTGGTTCTGCTGCCTACCTCACAAATGCTTACATACTTTAGCTTTCTTTGTAAACCACTGTATACTAATGGTTTCCAAATCTGGCCTAAAATCAGGATTACTTAGGGCATTTTTTTTTTTGGTGGTGTTGCAGGGCCTCACACGTGCTGGGCAGGTAATTCTACTACTGAACCACATTTCCAGCCCCAAGGCATTTTTTTTGAAATAAGAGTTTTGCTATGCAGTTTAGGCTGGCTTTAAACTCACTGTGTAGCCCAGGTTGGCCTTAAACTTGTAGTGATCCTCCTTTCTCAGTCACCAGAGTCATGAGATTAAAGTCATGCACCACCAAGCCCATTTTTGTTTTGTTTTGTTTTGTTTTTTTTTTTTTTTGGTACTAGAGATCGAACTCCGGTCCTTGTGCTTACAAGGCAGGCGGCGGAACCACTGAGCTAAATCCCCGGCCCTCTGAGGCAATTTTTAACAGCAGACTTCTGGGCCCCCAGTCACTAAATCTAAAATTTTGGGGGTCAAGCACATTGGTATTTGGGAACCACTGCCATCAAATACAGTGCAATACAGTGTAGTATATGCCTTGCCTTAAAAATACAGAATGCATTTCCCTATTTAACTATGGCGCTCCTTTTTCATGGCATCTCTCTTAATATCCTAGGGAACACTATTCTAAAAATATGTTTGCATCTATGGCCATACCACCCTGAATGTACCCAATCTCATCTGAAAATATTTGGGAAACAATAGTTTAATTATATTAAAAAATTACTAAACACTTTAGGTTCTAGGCACTAAGGACACAACTAAGAAATATATAGACTCCAGGCCCCCGACAGTTCCTAGACCAAAAAGGAAAGAGTTCCTAGACAAACTAGGAACACAAGTAAACAGGAAATTATAATATGCTATGATGACAAAGGAATTTACAATGTGTTATGAAGAGCACAGGAAGGGTGTGGGTGAATGTGTGTGCATACATGCATGCAAGCCTAAAAAAAGCCTAAACTGGGTCCTTAAGGATGAGCATAAGTTAACAAGGACAGGAAGAAGGTGTTGGAGGCTAGAGATAATGGGGGAAGAGTCTTCTGGGCAGAAATGGCAGAAGCAAACTCCAAAAGAGAGACAGAACATGGCCTCAGTGTACAGGTAAAGTCTGGCCACTGAACTTGAGGGGAAAACAGCATGAAATAAGGTTACAAAAGGACAGCTAGTGCCTGATCATGAAAGATTTGACAAGCCATGTAAAGGAGTTTGGACTCGATCCCAAGGACCCTGGGATTTGGAGACATATATGATCACACTTGTGCTTCAGAGACATTTCTCTGGCTAGAGGGTGGAAGACAGAATTATATAATTCCTTTCTTCTTAAAAAAAGCAACCTTCTTGGGTTATGGAAATCAGTAGGGAGATTACTCAAAAACTAACAACAGAAATTCCATATGACCTAGCTATACCTCCTCTGGGTGTATTCTCCAAAGAATTAAAAACGTCATACTACAGTGACAAATGCATACCTATGTTTCCAGAACTGCAATTCACAACAGTCAAGTTCTGCAAACAGCCTAGATGTTCATTAACATATGAATAAAGAAAAATGAAGTATAGACACACAGTGGAATTCTATTCAGTCATAAGAATGCAGTAAAGTTATCTGCAGGAAAATGGATGAATCTGGAGAACATAATATTAAGTGAAGTAAATCACACATAGAAAGTTAAATATTGCACAGTTTCTCTCATATGAGAAACTCAAACGAAGAGTTAGATCAAAGAGAGCTGGCAGAGGACAGGGAGGAAAGGGGAAAGTGAAAAGGGGGTCAGTGAAAGGGTGAGAGAAGGATAAGGAGAGGGATTTACAAGGAATAAAAATGATCAAGAAATGATATCTGTATGTAAAACTTTTCCAGTGAATATAACTATTACGTATCACAAAAACATACTAATAAAAATAAGCATCCTTTTGGGTGTAATAAAAGCTATAGGCTTGGGCTAGGGATGTTGCCTAGTGGTACTGCATTCAATCCCCAGCACCAAGCCAAAAAGAAAAAAAAGTTCTAAAGGTTGGTCACATAATAAGTGTGAATGCAGTTAACATTACTGAACTGTATACTTAACAGTGGTAAATTTTTTTTTGTGGTGGTGGGAATGGAGTCCAGGGCCTTGTGCTAGGTAAGTGCTCTACCACCAAGTTATAACTCCAGCCCTAAGATGTTAAAGTTTGTGTGTGTGTTTTACCACACATTTTAAAAACTTAAACCTTCCAAAATATTGAACATTGGATCAGAGTCAGAAAATCTGAATTCTACTCCCACTTATCTGAGGTATCTTTGGTAACAGCTCATCCGTACTTCAGGTTTCTCACTGAAGCAATGAAAATTGTGATATGATCTTGAAGACTCCTTCTGGTTCTATGATTCCATTTTACAGAGCCAGTGGAATTAAATGCCATGTCTACTAAACACCTATATTATCAACTCTACTTTTTTTCATCAGCTTTGTATAGAGACACTTACTTGAGATGGTAATATTCTGGGAGCAGTGCTCCCCTCCCCCCGCAATTACTTTACCCCTGGCAATTACTTCACTCTAGCTTTGAATGTAAATACTATGTTCCAGGGCTGGGGATTTAGCTCAGTGGTTCCAGTGCCTGCTTTGTAAGTGCAAGGACCCGAGTTTGATCCCCAGTACAAAACAAAACAAAAAACCAAAAAACAAAAAACAAAACAGTATTCTACATCCTTCTCTATGGGATCTTTCCCTTCTTACTGCCCACAAGGCCCTCTTCTAAATCAGGAGGTTCCTAGCACATGAGCAATAATGGCAATACTTAGATAACTTTTGATGTTGTTTAAATTTTTACTGTATTATTTTAAACCTTTTCTAGAATAAACATGTTTTCATTTTGTTAGAACAGATCCATATCGCTAGAAATATAGGTTATTGTATGTATTTTTTTTTTATATTTTATTTTTTATTTTTTTTATTTTTATTTTTTTTTTATTGAGTTTATTGGTACATTTAGGGATACAGTACAGTTACATTCATTGTTGGGATCATGTACCTTTACATGGCAAGTCTTGATTCTCATTTTTTTCCCCTTACCCCTGCCCTCCCTTCACCCCCTCCTCCCCTCCCCATCTACAAACACTTTATTTTCATCTTTTCATTCTCTCACATTTTTTTCTTTTCCCTTTTTGTTCTTCCCCTACCCGTCCCACCTTCCCTACACCTTTAGCTCCTTTCTTCCCATGTCTAAATGTCAGTAATACATAAGAAAGATCCTAATAAGATTACTGACATTTAGACATGGGAAGAAAGGACCTTTTTATTTATTTTTATTTTGAAACAAGGTTGCTCATTAAATTGCCTCAGCTAGCTTCAAACTGTATCCTCTTGTTTTAGCCTTCCGTATAGCAGAGATTGTAAGCAGGCACTGCTACACCCAGTTTATCCATATTTATATCTTTTAAAAAAATGTTTTGGGCTGGGGATTTAGCTCAGTGGTGCTGTGCCTGCCCTGCAAGTGCAAGGTACTGACTTGGATCCCTAGTACCAAAAAAAAAAAAAAAAAAAAAAAGGGTGTTTATATGCTTTTCTTCTACATTATTTTTCTATATAAGATTTAAGATGCCATTTATTCAAACTCTATGTAATAACCTGACCTCTTCATATTTTCACATACAAAAAGTTAGAGAACACTCTAAAACCAAACTGTTTCTACTATAACACTTAGATGCTACACATGATAATAAAAGCCTATTGTTCTTTTCTAAATAGCATGTTAATGCATATTGAAAATAATAAATAAATTAGTGATACCAAAGACCTTGATTATATCAATAGTAAAAATGTTTTAAGAGAATGGGCATAGGTGGGGTTGGAGCTTAATGGTAGAGAGTTTGCCTAGCATGTGTGAGTTCCTAGGTTTCACCCTTAGCACTATAAAAAAAGGATGGATTAAAACCAACTGGGTTATAGATGTTCTTAGGAAGTCACTGTTTATTTTGTTAAGTGTAGTAACAGTATGTTATAGATTGAATGCTTGTGTACTCCGGTATTCCTATGCGGCAGCCCTAACCTTCCAGGTAATGGCATTTGGAAGTAAAGCTTTTGGGAAGGTACAGCCGTGTGTTGCCGAGGACCACATATCTTGGTGGTGCCATAAGATTTTAATGCAGCCTAGCAACTCCTATCACCTAATAATATCTCAGCTATCCCAATGGTGTAGCACAAGACATTACTCAAGTGTTTGTAGTGATGCAAGTGTGCTGTCAGCCATATGAAAGTTTACCATATACGATTAGGTACAGTACATAATACTTGATGATAAATGCTTACGTTACTGATTTATATATTTATTACACTATAGTTTTTCTCATTTATTTTCTTTATAATTATTTTAGAGTGTATACCTTCTACTTAGAAAAAAGACATCTACCACAAATAGTATGCTATGTCATGAGGGCAGCAGCCTCATGTCATACATTCTGTGTTTACCAAGCCTCTTGATTGTATCCAGTGGCCAGTTCAAGTGATTGATCTACACCATGTAAGTTTGTGTAAATACACACCATGATATTCACACAATAGCAAATTGCCTAACAATGTATTTCTTAGAATGTATCCCCACCATTTAGCAACAATACTGTAAATAGATTTAGATGAGGTCATGAGGGTGAAAGCTCCCTGATGGGATTAGTGTCCTTCTTCATAAGGAGAAGAAAAACCAGAGTGCGTATGTACCAAACCCTTCCCCCACTGCCATGAGGACACCACGGGAAGGCAGCCACCTACAGGGAGGGCCCTCCTTGGGAAATGGGCACCTTGATTTTGTCCTTCCCACTCTCTAGAAGTGTCAGAAACATATGTGTATTATATAAGTACCCAGTTGGTGGTGTTTATTTAAGTGATTTTTAAAATTAGTACGTTATTTTAATTAGTACATGTTTGCAGTTCATGCAGTTTACAATCATTTTGGGAGTGGTTACATGTATATATTACTGCTTGTTTCTTTTTTTTTCCTTCTTTCCCTTCCCTGTCCCACCCCACTGTATTTTGTTGTAGCAGCTTGAGCAGACAGACTAACACATAATATTAAAGTTATGTTTTAAAAATGCCCTTAGCTATTGGCTATATATGTCTAATATTTGCATTTAACAAAAGAAGTTGGGGGAAGATACGAAGCAAGATTGGAGAAGTATTAATAATTTTTTTAAGATGAGGTCTTGCTATACTGCCCAGGCTGGCCTCAAACTTGTGATCTCCCTGCCTCAGCCTCCCAAAATATTGATAATTATCAAAACTGACTGATGGACACATGAGCTTTGTTTATGTTGTTATCTACAATGCTGTGTATTTCTGAAATTTCTCATAATAAAAAGATTTTTTAAATGTTTATACTAAGGTGAATGTGACAGGAGAGAAATAAATGGGGGCCACAGAGTGATACATTATTCATAATGAAGTGCTGTTATTTGTGTTGCTTTTTAAAAACAGCCATGCATACCTTTCTGCAATGAAGTCTGACTTGATTCATCTTGTGTATTATCTTTCTGAGCACTCACTAGATCTGCGACTAGAACCTCAAGTGATACATAGTTGCTCCCAGATGTCTGAGTTTTTTCCTCCATTATTTTCTTAATATCCCTGAAACTGAATCCCATTCGTATAGCTTCTTGTACCATGGGATTCTGAAAGACTGTATCATCTGAAATGAAAATTGGGAGGAAAAAGAATACAAGAGTTTAAACAAATATTTTCATTAGCACATCCCAACAATAAAATAGCTTTTGAGAAACAACCAAAAAGCCAGCAAACCAAAGGAAGGGTGAGAGGAAGAACTGCTTTAGAGGGGAGAATTTTTTAAATTTTCGGGATCTTATAATTCATTATAAATGCTGAGTATATATTTTATAGCACTATGGATTATTCAAGATTACAGATTGACTCTGATAGAGCTGGGTATGGTGGTACAGGCCAGTAGTCGCAGCACTCTGGGAGGCTGAGGCAGGGGATCACAAGTCCAAACTCTTCCTGGGCAACTTAGTGAGACCCTGTCTCAAAATAAAAAGTAAAAAGGTTTGGGTATTTATCTCAGTGCAAAGGCCTTGGGTTTAATCCCTAGTACTGCAAAAAAAAAGGCCTAAAATTAATACAAAAGACCAATTCTGAGCATAAAAAACAATGCTGGAGGCACCAAAACAGCTGATTTAAAAATATACTACACAGCCATAGTACCAAAAATAGCATGGTGGTGCAGACCTATAAGCCCAGCTACTCAAGAGGGTGAGGCAGGAGGATCACAAGTTTGATCTGCATTCCCAGCCCCTAGAATACTTTTTTAAAAGAGAGGAGGCAGGAAAGGGAGACACCATAGGGATATGAATATTAGGAACATTATATGGTAGGTAACTTTAAGATTTGTATTTGGTAATGAAGACAACAAAAGGTCAGTTAGGGTACTATTACAATAATCCAAATGAAAAACAAGGAGCTGAAGCCAGGCTTGGTGGCCTATGCCTGTAACCCCAGCACTCTGGAGTCTGAGGCAGGAGGAAAATGAGTTTGAAGAGAGCCTCAACTATACAGCGAGACTTTGTCTAAAAAAGAAACAAAAAGAAAAAAAGAGGATAGGGAATAACATGTGTTACAAAGGATGTAGAGAAACACTGCTAAAAGGAATGTCAAATGGGGTAGTCACTTTGGAGAACTAGCAGTTCATCAAATGGTTAAACATAGGTATCACATGACCCAACAATTCCATCCCTAAATATATATTTCCAAGACAATTAAAAACACATCTAGCCGGGCGTGGTGGTGCACACCTGTAACCCCAGCACTCGGGAGGCTGAGGCAGGAGGATCCCTGTGAGTTCGAGACCAGCCTAGGCTACACAGTGAGTTCCAGGTCAGTCTCAACTATACTGTGAGACCCTGTCTCAAAAAAAAAAAATCTGGATAGGGGCTGGGGATTTAGCTCAGTGGTTCCAATGCCTGCCTTGTAATTGCAAGGACCCAAGTTTGATGCCCGATACCAACCTCCCCCAAAATACTTGGAAAAAAATTGTACAAAATAGCTCATAGCAGTATCATGCACAATAGCCAAAAAGTAGAAAAAAATGTCCATCAACTTAGAAATCAAAATATGGTATTATCTATACTATGGGATATTTTTCACCATAAAAAAGAATAAAGAGGCTGGGCATGTTGGTGCATGCCAGTAATTCTAGCTCTTTGGAGGCTGAGACAGGAAAATCATGAGTTCAAGGTGAGACTGAACAACATGGCAAGACCCTATGTCAAAAAAGAAAAACCATGAAGTATTATATATGCTACAACACAGATGAAACTTGAAGCTATATATTTCATGATTCCACATTTTTAAGAATACCTCCCACTCAGGCCCCCTATGATCCCATTTATATTAAAGTTCTATAATAGGTAAAACTACAGACAGAAAGTAGATTAGCAGTTGGCGGGTCTGATGGTGAAAAATGGGAGTAACTGCTGATCGGTAGGTATGAGATTTTTTTTCTAGAGTGTTAATAATGTTGTACAATTTCAGTGATGGTAAATACACAAAAAGCACTGGGTTGTATACTTTATAAAGGTGAAATACCATGTAAATTATAATTCAGTGTAAAAACATTAACTGTCTCATTAGCCATAAGCAGAATAGTATGACTATAAGGATGAATAAATACCAAAAAATAGTATGCAAAAATGTATAGGCTCTTTCTAAGATATTTTAACACTAAGTGATTTCTTAAACTGTTTTGTTTACACCCATTGTAAAACCCATAACAAATAATATAAATGTAGCTATCCATCTCAAGCATTATTTATGACTATACATAGTGTTCTCTTGCCTTGTAATCCTTAAAATACTAAACAGATGATGCTACAAGCATAGAGTGGGGAATCACCAGACATATTCTAAATTAAACTTTCTATTTTTTTTTTTTTTTGGTACCGGGGATGGAACTGGGGCCCTTGTGCTTGCAAGGCAGGTGGCAGAACCACTGAGTCAAATCCCCAGCCCTTAAACTTTCTATTTTTGAAACATGCTGCCTAAAATGAAAATCAGATCTGTGTGTGACATAGGATTCAGAAGACCTGTTTACAGTTCTAGTCCCACTAATAATTCTTAAAGTGAATGGGTAGATCACATAACCTCTATGTTTCTCCATTTCTTCATCTGCAAAGTGGGGATAATAATATCTGCTTAATAATACCATTCTCTACTCACTTTCTGGTTTTCTTTCATCTTCCAGTGCTGGGGATAAAACTAAGGGCCTTGCCCATGCTCATCAAGTGTACCACGACTAAGCTACATCTCTAGCCCCTTTACCACTTTTTGAGACAAAGTTTCTCTGTGTTGCTTCAACTGGCCTCAAACTGTGATTCTTCCGCCTCAGGCCCCTAAGTAGCTGGGATTACAGGGATGTGCCACCTTTTTGAAAAAAATGTTTTAATTTTTTAGAGACAAGATTCTCACTCTGTTGCCTAGACTGGCCTCAAATTCCTGATCTCAAGCCATCCTCCCACCTCAGCCTCCTGATTACCTGAGATTACAGGTATGCACGAACTCACCCAGATTATACAAACATTCTTAATACTCAGAAATATCTGACTTATATACATAAGCTGTTCATTAAATTTTTAAATATATAGCAATCTCATCCTCATAACCATACTATTGTGACTTTGAAAGTATATGGTTATCTTTTTTTTTTTGGTACCAGGGATCGAACTCAAGCCCTTGTGCTTTCGAGGCAGGCCGTGGAACCACTGAGGCAAATCCCTGGCCCATGTACGTTTATCTTTTAACCCTACAAATAGATAACCGTGATAAACTGGTAGGAATATTAAAAGTGTATTTTTTTCCAGATTTTTTCCCTTTTTATTAGTACATGTTTGCAATATATAACAAATACATTTGTTGTGGGGAATTGGTACATATACTATCACATCTTGGTCATTGCTTAGACAGATTTGGGGGGGGCGAAGTATCAAACTCAAGACCTTGTGCTTACAAGTCAGGGTCAGTACCACTGAGCTAAATCCCCGGCCCAGATTCTTTTAAGTAGAGAATTTTTTTTTATTTCTCAACTTCCCTTTGATTTTTGGGATAAGCTGTTCTTTGTTTAGTATAGACAGCTATAAGTAAGTAGTCTTTTAAAAAATTTAAGGTATAAAAATTTACATGACTGTTTTTGTTTTGTTTTTATTAAGTTTACTGGTACATTTTAGGTATACATTAGGATCACGTTCATCATTGGGAATTAGTACCTGTACATGGTATATCACTTTCTTTTTTCCCCAGTACCAGGGATTTAAGTCAGGACTTTGCGTTTTTGAGGCAGGTGAGCTGCCACTGAACTAAATCCAGCCCAGTACATGCTATATCTTGATTTGTGTTTTTCCCCATCCCCCGTCCCTCTTTCTACCCCTCCCTATTTACAAAAACCTTTGTATCAGTTTTCTTCTTTTCTCATATTTTTTCTTTCCCTTCCCTCTACCCCTTCCCCCAGTTTCCTATCCACTTTGGATCTTTTCTTCCTATTTTACATTATCTAATCTATTATACATTTTGGTCCTCATTTACGCTTTCAGTGTCTCACACCAGAGAAAATATTCAGTATTTACACATGTGTCCTATTTATTTCACTTGAGTATGGCCTCAATGTGCACCCATTTAGCTATAAATGCCTCTAGCTTATCATTTATGGCTGAGTAATACTCCATTTTAGAAAAAAACCCACAACTTTATCCAGTTACCTGTTGATGGGCACATGGGCTGTTCACAAGATTTAGCTATTACAAAAAAAGCATATTTATTTTAATAAGCATACTTACCAATTCTTTTAGACAGTGATGGTGTTTTTTCAGTAGTTCTTACCTAAAAATAGAAATGTGAATTGTAAATAAGAATTCTTTTTGGTAGAAGGCAATTTAAAAAGTTACATTAATCAAAAATTTAAATTGGCTGCATTCCAATTCCAAATATGAACACTCACAAGAGGCACAGCCTGATGGAACAGAGGAAGTTAAAAGATCATCTAATCCAATCCCTTCACTTTACAGATAAGAAGCTGAGGCCCAAGAAAATTAAAAAACTTCATGGAGGTAAATACAAATATAAGTGACTCCACTCTCCCATTCTATTCCAGATTGCTTTTTTTTTTTTTCACATATTATCAATGCCTTGGCCACCCCAGTTCCTCCTATCAGTTTGGATACATTTTTCAGATTTTATATATTATCTACACAAAGGTTAATACTACTGATGAGTGCAAAATACATCATACATAGGTCTAATTTCAGGAGAGCAAGGGATTTCAGTATTTTAACCCTTGAACCTCATTTTTGCCTACAATGATACTTAAATTAGTTCATCCTAATCATATTTACGAATTTGCTTCAGGTTAAGAGTAAGAAGTTCTATTAAAGTTCTCTTCTTTAAAGCTCACCGCACATTATTAATTCACAATATTATACTGTGAATGTTACATGAAAAAATAATTATAAAACAAATATTTGAAAAAAATGTATTACATAATGAGACTTACCAGCGACACCTCATGTGAATGGGTTAAATGAATACTGTTTATATATTCTTGTCCCTTCTCTTCCAACAGATATTTACACCTAAATAATAAAAGATAAAACTTTGGCAGCTGATAAATTAGTAAAGTATTAGTAAAGATATTATCTCCATATTTATTCTATTAACTTGCTTTCTGTTGTTTCTAAAGAGCCACAAAGAACATTATCAATTCCCTATGCAATCATTATTTTAAGGTTAAAAGAATGTTCCTACTGTTATGCTATGTCAGCAGAGCAAAAAGTATCAACTTGAAAACTTTTGACTTTTAAGCAAGTTATTAAACTAGTACCTGCACATTTTTTCAAAAGTTTAAAGTAGTTAATCTTAACAGGCTTTATTTTTTAGATGATTAATCAACTGTACATTTAAATTTTTTTTCTTTTCTTTCTTTTTTAACCTGGGATTAAACTCAGGACCTTGCGCTTGTGAGGCAGGAGGTGGATAAAATTTTCATTTTCAATCTTTCTTTTTAAGGTTATTTAAGGCTAAGATGTCTTTACAAATGAGCTCCCTGAAGTTTTAAGTTGTACTATTTTGTAGGCCAGAAATTTATATCACTTATATACCTGGGCACTTGTTTATAAAAGACAGGATGGTAAAGAGACATTTAGAATATGTTATCAAGCCAGGCGTGGTGATGCATGCCTGTAATCCCAGCACTTGGGAGGCTGAGGCAGGAGGATCACTGTGAGTTTGAGACCAGTTTGGGCTACATAGTGAGTTCCAGGTCCGTCTCAACTACATAGTCAGACCCTGTCTCAAAAAAACAAAAAAAAATATGTTATCATCCTAGGATGTCACTGATTCTAAGAAGAAGCATACTTACTTTATGTACTACCTAAAACTGCTACCAATTAAAGTATGATCTGTTACCAGATGTGTCCTCATTTCAGAGATCATAAAATGTAAACAACTCTGTGACTTAGAATCAGTGAGATCCATTAGAATTTCCTTGGGTGTATAATGGCTTCTTTAGGACACTCTTTGGCAACTTAGGCTTTCTCAATCCATCATGAAAGAGCCTATGTTAAACAAGTAAGTACACATTTCCTAATTTGGTGTTTAGGAATGAAATTATCCGATGTCAAAGATATGATATATAAGAAATGAGTGCACCAGAGAAGGCTTAGGTATCCCCCCCATAAAGTAGGTGACCCCATTTTTATAAATCTGGTGTGAATTTCAAGCCACAGTGAAGTCAAAAATAAGTTGAGGTGAAAAGTAATTCAGATCCTGCCACTGCACACTGTTCAACTTGCCTGTTCCTCATTGAACAATTAAACATCTTACCCTGGATACCACTTAGCATGTTGTTCCCAAGGGTCTTCACTGGGCTTCCAATCAGTTAGTCCTCCTCCACAGTGAAAGCACTCTACTTTATCACCTTCACCTAAGAAAATATATAAGTAACTATATATACATACATATATGCATATATATATATATATATATAAACTAGAAGCTTACACAAAAATATCCATCCTAACACCCAAAAATTAAGCACATCTTACAGAAAAATCATATAGCTTAAGACAATCATATTTTTATCTAAGATATATATTATATATAAATGTATGATCTTTATGCATTGAGGAGAAAATGCACACTAAATTCACTGACCCAATATAAGGTATTTTACAGAAGACAAAGAAAAATAAAAATGACCAATTTTTTAAGGACTACAATTGTTACATTCTTTTTAATTTTTGTCATCTGGTCCACCAATATTACTTTTACTTTATCAAATTGTGGACTTTAAAACAAGTTATATTCTAAGTATCAATAACAATAAATTTACAAGATAAGTTTCTCTAAGGTTATAGCTTAACAATACTAAACCAACTTTATGATTACTATACGATGCTATATAAATAAAAATTTTGAAATAGTGAATACTTTATACTTTGGCATTAAACCTAAAATAAATGGGTCAGATAAATAATACCTCTTAAAATATTCCTAGAAGCCATCACATTAATTGCCCTTCCTGTCACACTTATGGCATCCATTTCAAAAACACTGATTTTGTGGGCCAGGGATTTAGCTCACTGGTGTGGTGCCTTCCTTGCAAGCACAAGGTCCTGAGTTTGATCCCCAGTACCATCAAACAAAACAAAACAACAAATGAAACAGAAACACTCATGTGTAACAATAAGCATAATACTAGCCAGCTTTCAAATATATCATCTATATATTAAAGGTAGATGTTACTTTTAATATGAGCCAAACTCTTTAATGTTAACTTATTTTAGAGAGTTGTTATGAAGCTTAGAGAAAATGCATGTAATATATACACTAAGCACGTTAGATGCTTAATAAATGATAGCTAGTATTACTATTAGACCCATGTTTCTATCACCTCTCTCCTAAAGCAATTACATAAATATAAACATGACTCATAATATGGTAGTCTTTGTAACATAAATTCCATAATTACTTAAGTTTAGAGAATAATACTGATATAAATAAAAATGCCAACTTAAATCTAAATACTTTTACAAGTTCAGGGGGTTAAAGGCATCTATTTACTGTTTAGGAGCCCTGGGATAGTTGGAAAGTCTGTTTACCTAAAGCATAAAATCCAGCTCTTGCAAGCTGCTCCTTGTTAATTGAGTATGTCCACGTCCCAAAAGTAATGATCCGGGCTTCATACTCTGCCATGGCTGGATTTCTTGGAGGAATTGTTGAATTTGGGAAATTCCTATCAGAACTTACAACATCAGGTTCACCTCGAACATTAATTTTCTGGCCCAAAACAAAGAAGCATTTCGGAAAATGTCGCCTGTGTTCTGACCAGGCACGATCACAAGGTTCCCAATTTTTCAGTTTTCCACCACAACAAAAGCACTGCACTTGATCATCAGTACCTGTGTAGTAAAGTCCAGCACTAGCTAACTCTCTGGGAGTTAGGTGGGCATAGTCTGGCCAGTTGTGAAATGACTTTAGTCTAGCTTCTTCACTACACATGGCAGGATTCCTTGGGTATACAGTATCTGACATATCTACAACCTGTCCAGTTCTCAAAAGATAGTCTGCATGAGTCTCAGGTGGTCTGTCTAAAACAAAATGATTTCTGCTTCCCAGATAGTTATCAGCATTGTACTGACCGTTCTGGACACCAGGATTTATAGGCTGTGCGGCACTATTTTCAAAATAAAATCCATTGATAAATCTGCAATTTGGAGATACTTTTCTGTGTCTCCCAACTGCTGAGTCTCCATATTGCCATCTATCTACTGCTGCATGACAACTAAAGCACTGTACAGTATCTCCTTCACCAGTATAAAGAAAACCCGCTCGTGCCAATGTTGATGCCGAAACAGGACTAGTACTTGGAAAATTAGCAAAAGTTTTTAATCTATTAAACTCCTCTACAAAGTCTTCATCCTTATTGATGTCTGCAGGTACACAAGTCTTAGTTCCTTCAAAACTGTTAAAAGTCATCTTCTCTTGAAAACAGGACTCATCCACTTTTTCTAAAAAGAGAACATTACATTAGGAAATCCAAAATGAGAAACACAGCAACATATGTTTGATATTCCGAGCTAAAAATTATTCACTGATGACATAAAAATAACTACACAATCACTAAAACACATTCAAATTCTAAATAGTAAAATTCTACTTTACCACACCACTCAAGTCATACAGTAAAAACTGACATTTTTGTTTTGTCTGCTGGTCTCTCATGGTGCTGGAGTTTGAACCCAGAGCTTCACACATGCTAGACAGTAATCACTCTACCACTGAGCTACACCCCCAGCTCTTTGTTTTCTCTTTTTGTGGAAAGTAATATTTAAACAAGTAGAAGAAACTATTTAAGCATTTATTTTATATGAATATGGAAACTGTGATGCATAATACATTATAATTAAACATGTAAATCATTAATTAGGAAAAACATGAAAGCAGCATAAAATATGCAGATTCTTAAAGTCTATGCATATTATAATGGATCATTGTACACTCAAGGCAGAGTTCAGTTTTCACAATTAAAAAAATAAATGTTCAGAATGTTAATACATTAATTTAAAATATTTGTTCATGTTCCTACATGTTAAGAGAATAAAATGCTTCTGATTTTCCTGCATAAACAAGTTCTTTCGGCCGGGGGGGGGGTACTGGGGATCGAACTCAGGAGCTTGCACTTGGGAGATAGGCGGCGGCACCACTGAGCTAAATCCCCGGCCCAAGAGTTCATTTTTTTTGCTTGTTTGTTCTTGGTTTTTTGAGACAGGGTTTCACTATGTATTTCAGACTGCTCTGGAACTCACTGTGTAGCCTTGAATTCACAGTGATCTTCCTGCCTCAACTTCCCAAGTGCTGGGATTACAGGCGTGCGCCACCACACCCAGCTCCAAGAGTTCATTTTTGACAGAAGTGGATCTCATATATATATACACACACACACACACACACACACACACACACACACACACACAGTATTGCACTCTTCAGGGTGGCTGAAGAGAACCCTAAGTATTTGTAGACCTTAACTGCAGTTACTTTTTCCTTGGTCAGGGAACAATCTGTTCAAATGGAAGACTTTGGCAGCCTAATTAGAGCTGCAAATTACAGCTATGTAATATTCACCCAGATAAAATACTAAAAGGAGCCAGTTGGATTGAAAAGTGTGGTAAGATAATTTATCCTCTAAATCTAGATGTCTTTGAAAGTGAAAAAGAATGAATAAAATGAATAATTACACAGGAACAATAGGCCTAAAGTCAGGGTTACCCCAGGTAAATCAAACTGTCTGGTCACCCTACCTGTGAGGCAAACGTGCTTCTCCAGAATCTCCAACACTGTCCAATATCATGCAAGTGTAAAATAAAAGAATGCTAACACCACACACACACACACACACACACACACACACACACACAAACACACAGCAATTAAAAAATACGTAAATCACCCGAATAGATATTGCTGAAAAGAGAATAATGAAATAGCCAACAAACATATCAAAAAATGTTCAACACCACTAATCATCAGGGAATACAAATCAAAACTACAATGAGATAGCACCTCACACCTGTTAGGATAGCTATTTTATTGCTATTATATAAGACAAAAACCAACATGGGAACTCTCATTGTAAATAAGTACAGCCATTTTGGAAAGTAGTATGGAGGCTCCTCAAAAAACTAGGAATAGGATCTAACAATCCCACTAAGTATATATCCAAAGGAACTGAAGTCAGTATGTTGAAGAGACATCTACATTTGCACATTGCATTATAGCACTGTTCACAATAGCTAAAGGAATAAAGAAAATATGCTACATATACAAAATGAAATATTTCTCAGGCATAAAAAGAAAGCCTGTCATTTACAGCAATGTAGATGGAATTGGAGGACATTACATAAAGTGAAATAAGTCAGGCACAGAAAGGCAAATACAACATTTTCTCACTTACAGGTAGAAGCTAAAACATTGATCTCCTAAGTAGAGCACAAAACAGTGGTTATCAGAACCTGGGAAGGGTGTGCGTGTTGGAAGGAGGTTATGACACGATGGTCAATGGGCAAAGATGTAGTCTGCCAGCAGTAACTTTGAATGTTCTATTGCACAGGAGAATAACTATGGTTGACAACAATTAAGTATTTCAAAATAGCTAGTAGATAAGATTTTGAATATTCCTAATGTAAAGAAAAACAAATGTCTGAGGTAAAAGATATGCCAGTTATTTTGATCTAATGCATTGTATACATGTAGTGAAATACCACACTGTACCCTATAAATATGTAAAATTATTGTATGCCAACTAAAAATAAAAATATATTTTAAAAATGATCGCAGTGACTTTGTCTCTACTCCATACAGGCATTGATTTATTTTAAGAACTATTCAGATCTTTCAACATTATGTTAGCAGAATGTCTATAAAACATCATCTCTCTTTGAGTAATATTCAACACAAGGCTTCTCTTGGAAGCTGGCAATGCACTTCAGATTTTCTTGGCTTTGTCAATTTACAGTGGTAATAATTCATATAAATATCTCAACAGCTGAATTATATATGCATTCAAAATTTTTAGAATATACTCACCATGACTCTTCATTATCATTTCCCAGTTATCTGAAAACATTCTGACATTAACTTCAAAGCCCTTTTTTGAACTAGTATAATAAGCTGGAAAATAACCAAGATTCAAAGAAACCAAGACTGGCTTACAGGCTAGTGAAATATAATTTTAAAACATTTTTTGTTTGTTTTTGAGCAGGGTTTTGCTATGTAGTTCTGACTGGCCTTGAACTCTTGGGGATCCTTCCACCTCAGCCTCCTAAGTAATAGGATTATAGGCATGCACCACCACATCCCCATACTGAGATAAAATTTAATAGGTGTAAATGTAAAGTCTTATTTTTGTTGTTGTTTTCTTGAGACAGGGTCTTGTTATATGGTTCAGGCTGGCCTTGAACTCATGGTGATCCTCATGCTTCAGCCTCCTTAGTGCTAGGATTAGAAGCATGTACCACCATGCCTGGCTATTATGCTTTTTAAACTGTTACTAAGGAACTAAGACACTTGGTTTGGAATAAAGTCATGCGAAGGCAAACTTCCAAATTAAAAACCTTGGGATTTTAGTTAATTCTAAATTCATTATGAGCCAACATTACATTGCTGTTAAAAAAACAAACAACACGGGCCAGGGATTTAGCTCAGCGGTTCTGCTGCCTGCAATGCAAGCGTTAAGGACCTGAGTCTGATCTCCCGTATCAAAAAAAAAAAAAAAAAAAAAGCACAACCTTCTACCAACTGTTGGGGTGTGGTGGCACACGCCTGTAATCCCAGCTCTTAGAGGCTGAGTGCAAGGCCAGCCTGAACTATATAGGGAGACCCCTCCCTTAAAAACAGCTGGGTGTGGTGGCGAACACCTGTAATCCCAGCACTAGGGAGGATGAGGCAGGAGGATCCTGCAAGTTTGAGGCCAGCTTGGGTTACATAGTGAGTTCAGGGCCAGTCTGAACTGCAAAGCAAGACCCTGTCTAAAAAAAAAAAAAAAAAGGAAAAATCAAAACTAAACAAACACTGGGCTGGGGATTTGGCTCAGCGGTTCTGCCACCTGGAGTTTGATCCCCCATACCAAAGGGAAAAACAAACAAACATACAAACAAAACACACACATACACCACCTGGAGTTTGATCCCCCATACCAAAGGAAAAAAAACAAACAAAACACACACACACTCATGACAAAAAAGTACACCAACTTCAGGCTACATTAGTGATGACATGTCCAACATCCAGATTCAATTTAGAGTATTATTTCCAGTTCCAAAAACATTTCAGAAGGGATATTAACAAAATTTAATGTCCTTAGCAATCAGGATAATGAAAATGATATCATAGGAAGAGTTGGAAGAGGTGAGGATGTTTATCCTAAAGAGAGGAAATTTTGTGAGGGGAAAGGTAGAGAGGATAGAATATATATATTAAAATATTGGGCCAGGGATTTAGTTCAGTGGCACTGCACCTGCCCCACAAAATCAAGGTCCTGAGTTCAATCCCTGTATCTAAAAGGCTATCATGGAGAAAAGGGAGCCAAAGGTTGTGTAGCTTGAGGGCAGAATTAAAGTGAATAAGTATAATTATAACCACTATAATTTAACCCAATACAAGGATAAACTTTAAAACAATCAATGGCAGTATAAAATGGATTGGGTTGTGCATCAGTGCTAGATACAGACTTAATGCAAGATATACAAATATAGTATATAAGAACTTACAAGATTGGCTTACAATGGCCAGCCAGAGTCAGGTATGGAAAAGTGCAAAAGGGCTGCCTGTGGGCTAGAGATCCAAAGAATCCACTTGAAGGCATGGAGCTCACTAATGTCCCATGTGAGTCTGTTATCAGGAGGCCAAAAGGCTGAAGAGGCAGTGCTGGAAGGCTGGAGATGACATCTAAGGTGAAGGTGAAGACTGGAGCTCCTCTGAAAAAACAGAAGCGAGGCTTCCTTCTTCGTTTGCCTTTTAGTCCATTCAGGCAGCAAGCCTATTGGTTGCTGCCACTCACACCCAGGATGGACTTTGTTTTCAGTAAATCCCTTCAGCCACATCTAGAACTATACTGATCCAATTTAGTAGGGTGTTTCTTACTGAAATTGACACAATCAAATAACTATCACAATCTACCCTGTGTCAACTTGACAAGACACATTTCCTTAAACCACATCTCCAGATACAAAGACAAACTGATAATTACACCTAACATGTTACAACTCTCTTGCACACAAATTCCCTCCCAGAGTAGTTTTCTTTAGATGATGCTTACTCCTAACATTTCATAACTTGAACACTATAACACAGGTTTAACAATACTTAAGAACCAATATTAAGTCTATCAACATATTACATAAGAAGCATGTTAGGAGAGAATTATTACAATTATAATCCTCATTTCTATAACTGATCTCAGGGTCATACCTGGTATTTACAATTACTTTCTTTTAATAGCCATTTAGTA